GCAAGTTTTCTTGCAACTGCTGTTGTCTCTCTTTTTGTTTCTTTTCTTTTTCCTCCAACAACTGCTGTAATCTCTCTTGTTTACTTTGCTGTTCGAGCTGCCACTGTTGCAAGTTTTCTTGCAACTGCTGTTGTCTCTCTTTTTGTTTCTTTTCTCGTTCTTCTTGTTTCTTTTGCTGCCATGAAATCTGCTAAGCTGTAGTTTGATTTGCCGCTTCTCATTTCCATTTTTTGTCCCACTCTCTGACACCAATTTGTTACGTCTCTGTTCGTTAGTTAATTTTCTGTATAATTTCTTTCCGAAGAAACTTTAACGATACAAGTCCTTTCTTAAATAAAACTGATTTATTCTTTCTAAATACAACTTTGCAATACACTTAATTTCCACAGTCATACCATAACAAACACTATAATTCACAACGAACGTCACACGTGCTCAACTCAACAATACGTCTCTCTCTCTGTCCGCAGTTCAATTACCTTACATTGTTGCCATCACGTCTTGACCGTCTTATATGTACAAGAATACCGAAATCTAGTAAACGCTCGAGCATTCATGAACGTTCTAGAAGCGCATGATGTGCTACAAGTGTCACGTGACCTCCGCTGTCATAACAATACTGTTAATGGTACCAGGAGATATGGCAAGCATTTTTTTTTTTTTTTGCTTTAGGTGTGACTTTGAAGCCCATTGCCATTCTAAATACTCTTTTCAGTTTTTCTGCTTCCATAGAACACTTTAAAGCCTCCTTTCATTGAAATGCTATACAAACATTTTCCCTTTGAAAAGGATGTTACATATTCTTTCAGTCATAAGTCTACCTATAGGATGTTGCATTTTAATGTCAGGAATTTGCTGCAAGCCAAATATATAGTTATTAAACATGTTGCCTTTGGTAACATTACTCCATTTGTAGTAACACACCACTATATTAGCATTTGGAAATTGTTCTTATAAACCGTAATTAATCTATATATTCTTCTTTGCTGGGTACTTTTATCAGATGTGTTGTATACATTTATGTGTTAGATTTTAGAAACATATAAATATATAGTATGTTCCTCTCCCACTTCAATTTTACTTCTTTGTATAAAGTTATATTTTCACATTATTAATAACAGAGTGCAAAGAAATTGTTTAAGCAAATACAGTGTATTTGTAAATGTGATAGGCAGCTATATCTAATATTACCTATGACTAATATTCATGTAGTATTTCATTTTTATTGATAGAGTTCATTAATAAGGCTTATTATAAGCACACATTAGTCATAAGATATTGTTATTATGTATCATAAGCACGTAAGATTGTTTTACTTCAGTGTATTTAGAACTAGTTAGATTTCTGAAGCATTTGCATGATTTTTGATTTTATTACAGTAATAGTTGCTTGACTAACACTTTACAAGCTGACTTAGCAAGTGATGATGATATATAGAATTACTCCTACAATACTGAAACAGACATTTGCATGATTTTTGATTTTGTTACAGTAATAGTTGCTTGACTAACACTTTACAAGCTGACTTAGCAAGTTATGATGATATACAGAATTACTCCTCCTACAATACTGTAACAGACATTGTTTAAATTAATATTTCATATTGTGATGTCTTCATATATGATGTGAGATAAATCTTGTCTTTTAACTAAAATGTTAATACAACTGTAGGGACATGACACAAAACATACATATTCATAACTATAACTGCATGACTTTATGATCTGTTAATACAGAGATTCTTGGAAAAGGGAATAATAACAGAAAAATAAAGAATAGTAAGTTTTAACATATACTGTTTGGAAGAACATTAGATTGTGTTATCATGCTACAAAGGTGTATTAGATATAGTTCAAATTGAATGCCGAATAGTCTTTGTAGTAGAACTCTTACCTCATCGAGTGGTAATGTTGAACATCTTGTTTTAATAATGTTCAGTAAAATATTTATATATAATTTATGATTATTTAAAATTAGCATCTTCATATAATATTCCCATTAAGCCAAATTAAATTCTAGAATATTTCAAACGGAATAATTTTTTTAACATAGAGTATAAGAGTGTAATGTAAACTGATCTGTGTAATAACCTCTACTTACATGATGTTAATATGTTTACTGCTTTTACTATATAATTACATTAGTTATGCTGAATTAATTTTTCTGACATTAGAGAGCAGATTTAATGAATCATTCGGTTAAAGAATAAGTTTTACTTTTTATTTATATTGTAGAATCTTTGCACAAATGTTTTATACTTATGAAATATTTTAAACATAGTAACAAGTATTCTGATTGTGTTTTTTTTTGTTCTTTTTTTCAGAGTGAACAAGATGTATCCTTTTTTCTGGTTCCAATTATTATTCATTGTACAATGCGAATTATGTGTCTAACATGAAATTTTCTTTCCTCATTGACATGCAAAATTATCTTTAAATTTGTGATTCAAACGTGCATCCAAAGGGTAGAGAACCCAGTTAAGTCTAAACTCTGTAGTTATTATCTGTAGTAAAAGTCATCATGAAATGTAAACTGTTTTTACCATTATTTGTGTTTGATTCATGTCCATATGTAGGATTTTCTTTATTAAATGATTTGTTGGATGCTACAATTTTCTATAGCAGAAGCGCTAATCAATTATTCTTCATAGGAAGAGCTCCAACTAGTTATTTTTCATACCTGGAATTTCAGCCAGTTATTCCTTGTAGCTTGAATTCCAGTTGATTATTCCTCCTGGCTGACACATCTGTGTTAGTTAGTTTTATCGATTTCTTTTTCCAACAAATATCCCTCTTCTGTACAAGTAATGCATATTTCCTTCTGCTTACAATGGTTCATGGGAATGCATTTCTTATGAGATCAGTTTATCAATTCATTCACAAGAAATATCACATTCAGCAGGTTTCAACTAGAAGAAATCTGTTGTATTTAATTAATTGTAAAAATGGGTCTAATCATGCATTGGGGTGGTGGTTAGGAGAGAGCTGTTGTATTTAATTAATTGTAAAAATGGGTCTAATCATGCATTGGGGTGGTGGTTAGAAGAGAGCTGTTGTATTGAAAGCTTTGATTTGTGTGGCAAGATTTACTCATGCCTTTACAACATGCTGCCTCTTTTGTTTTTGTCTAAATTACATTGTAAACATTGTCTCGTTCTTTGGAGTGATATCTCATAGAATACTGTGAAAGGAGGAAATATGTGATTTTTAGTTACAGTTTGCTTTATATAGGGGGATACAATAATATAGCACAATATGACTATGAAAGTTCATGCCCAACTTTAAGCTTTGTATACATTAATAAGACCCAGGAATGTTTTTTTTTATTATTATTATTATTCTTAATGCTCTTTCACATCTAATATCATTCTTCAAATCAAGCAATAATGCTAAAAATATAAACATCATACTTAGGTTTCAGGTTGTCCTATTCATACCCTTTAGGTTCATTTGATTAGACATTAAAATTTTGTTTATTGTATGTCATATCTAGTCTACCCTGTATAATATTTGTAAAAATCTTTTGAAGTATTTACATCTACCTTAACTACATTCCAGCTGATGCTCCATGGTGACAAGGCTCACATGATTATGCAGGAGATTGTAATTAATGGAAGTGTAGTTGAATCGAACATTAGTAGAATACTGGCACCACTCAGGACATTAGATAAACTTACTTCATAAGTTAATTTTGTTTAGATGATGTTTGATCAGTGTGTTGGATAGAATTTCAAGTTTTACAGTGATTATTTTATTACTGCGCTACATACATATCTAATTAGAAACACAGTGTTATACAGACACTTAAAGACATGTAATGTGGCCTTAAAGCTTTCTGTAACTGATTTTCTTATGAAAATATTGTATTAATATTAGTTGCAAAATATATAGTGTTTAAACACTTAGTGTTTAATCAAAACAATATATATTTTCCCAAATCTTAATCGAGTTCAACTTTCCTTGGAAAATAGAATAAACAAAAACAAATGTTTGAGATATAACTATAAGCACAAAACTTTAATATTTCACAAATTTGGTAAACAAAATATTGAAAATTCCTAACAGTGTTTATCTTCTCTACAAAAGTAAAGTGATATCAAAGATGGGAAAATTTTCCCAAAAAAGCATAAAACCTAAAAAATGAGATGATGAAAACAGTAACTTATGATACAAACATATTTTTCAAAATACAAAGGTCTTTGATGTTTTCATGAAAACGATTTCTTAAATGTAGACTTTAGTGGTGGGTATTTTGATACATAAACAACTAACAGTAGCAATTTTTGAAGAAAAAAATTATATTTTCGAAATGGCCACTTCGAATGGAAGTTTTCTGTAGAAGAACATCAAAATCTATGATACAATTTTTTTTTAAATCATAGGCTATAGACTTGGGTATTTTTATGGAAAAATAGTTTTCTTAAATATTGAGATAAATGTGTATTTTAATGCAGCAACAATGTCTAAATTGAAATGGCCTATTAATTTGGCAAAAAATAACAATACATAATATACACACTTACAGTTTAATCAAAACAATGTATATTTTCCCAAACCCTAAATCGAGTTCAACATACATTGGAAAATAGAACAATCAAAATAAAAATAATAATTGTTTGACAAATAAGCACAAAACTTTAATATTTTACAAATCTGCTAAAGAAGATATGGAAAATTCCTAGCAGTATTTATTTTAACCACAAGATTAAAGTGAAATCAGAGATGTGCAAATTTTCATAAAAACCTTAAGACCTAAAAAATGAGAATTTTGTCAATGAAATTCTAGGTTTGAAAAGCCAATATCGAATACAAAATTTTCCTTAAAGAAAACGATAACTTATGATACAAAGATTTTTTTCGAAATTCAAATGCCTTAGCAATTTTCATAAGAAGAAACGATTTCTTAAATGCAGACTTTAGTGGGTATTTCGATACATAAACAACTAATAGTAGCGACTATTTTCGAAAACTCACTTCAAATGGAAGTTTTCTATAGAAGAACATCAAAATCTATAATCCAAAAGTTTTTTGAAAAAAATCAAAGGCCATAGTCTTGGGCATTTTAAAGAAAAAAAATTATTTTTCTAACATTTACATAAATGTGTATTTTAATGCAGCAATAATATCTAAGTTCAGATGGCCTATTAATTGATCCAAAACAACAGGATTTATAGACTTAGAGTTTAATGAAAAAATATATATATTTTACCAAACCATACATCGAATTCATTTGTCCTTTAAAATATAGAATAAGCAAAAAATAATAATAGTTTGAGAAATAAACACAAAATTTAATATATATCTCAAATTTGACTGAAGACTCACCCTTGGGATATTGTCTCCTAGGTGTTTTAACAGCTGATGTTTCCATATAGTCTTGGTTGTAATATACAGGTTCCCACATTTATAACAAATCCCTCTTTCTGGTATGCGAGAAGTTACATTCTTTACAAACTTTTGTTCACTTCCTGGCAATATGTACTTTCAAGTTATACTTGAAATGCGTAATCACTGTTCCATCGAATCATTCAGGAAATGATTTCAAACTGAGCTTGGTATAACTCCCATGGTACCTTTCCACCACAGTATCATTGTTCATTGGTTTCTTTATTGGCAGATGTTTAAATGACCAGCTAAATTCCTAGAATGGATTTGGTAATGTCATGACTGTAATAGTCCAGAGAGGTCCTTCAGTAATTGGAAATACAGCAGTAGTGGTAACAGGTGTAGACCAAATAAGTTCTGCTTTTCCAAATTTTGTAGTAGATGGTATTTTAGGATGTAACACTTGAATCGATGCAGAAATAGGTGTAGTTGGCTTCCTTTTTGCATTTAATTATTCATTTTCCAGGTGTTTTATTCTGTCACTGATGTTCTTTTCTATTATTGATGTCATTCATTAGATCACCTTTGACTTATACAATTTTGTCATTACAGCCTTGCTATACTTCATCAATTGTATCTTTGTAACATCTCCATACATCTTTGATAGTTTTCTCAGACTTGTCTTCAATAAGATTTATTTTTTATTCTAATTCTTCCTTAAATGGTACATCTCATTCTCTTAGCTCCTCTCTTAAGTTCCTGTCTCATTCCTCTTTGTCTTTTTTTATTTTTCTATTTCTTACTTCAAATTAATTTTCAGTCTCATTCTTTCTTCCTGGTCTCTTTTAATTTTCTTTCTGTTTTTTGACCCATTATTCCTTTAATTTTCTGTCTCTTTCCTCTAAATTTTACCTCAATAATTTCATAAGTTCTATTTCATAATCTCATTTCTTACACCAGTTGTTGTAATGTTGTTTTTTCGTTGGTGGGTTATTTTAAATTATCTGGTGAATATCAGTTCATGTAATAATAGCAAATTAAATGATTTATTTCTTTGATATTTCTACATACTTAAACATTGTGGTAAATTGTAGGCCAAGTTTATAACCACTTTAACTGTACTACCTTTACGTTAAAAAATCTTCCTTGTACAAAGTAATTATATATGTACGACAGCTGACACAGAACCAAATACTTCAGTAAAAATAATACTGGCTGAAACAAAAACGCTGACTGATTCATTCTTTCAACTAGAAACCAATCTCTATATTCTGAACTAACTTATTAATGCTTTGTTATAACCTTTAGAATTTACTAAACACATTTGACGTCAAAATCTTTAAGAACTTTCAAGGAGTTCCAGGTCTACGTTATTAAATTTATTGATCTTAATATCAACAAGTTGTAGCTTATAACACCTCGTTGACTATTCAACAAAATTTCTTTGTTAATTAAACTACTTTGCAAAGCATCATTTAACAAACTTTCAAAACAATTTTTTCCACCACTGATGTAAGTCTAATTACGCCTAAAATTACACAAACAATCAAATCGAATCCTGGTAGGTTTGATAAACCAGGAATAGTCAGAAATTTTTAAAATTTCTCTTCGCCTCCTCTTTGGCTTGTGTAATAAATAAGACTTCGGGGACTTGATTGTATTTTTTGTCTGTTTTGAAACTGCTGTAGTGGGTTACCGAAATCAAGCAAAGAGAGAAGCCTGAAATAGAGACCGGAAATACATTCCTCTTCTTGTCTTTGGTGTAATAAGAATATTTAAGCTTCCAGTCTAGCTCATAAAAATCAGGGACCCAACCAGAGAGACCAATCAACGCACCCCCGCACTCTGGGGCCACAACCCAGAAAGAACATAAGACCAAAACTATTGTTTATTCACAATTACAATAACAATCTGTGTTAACAGTAACATTCAGAGAGAACAAACAATGCAAGCAAGAATTAGCAATACAAGAGAATTTACAAAGCAGGAAATATAGATTCGACAAATTAACTACTTCACAATTTAGATAATAATTCAAAACTTAACACAGATTCAACGAATTAACAGTTTCACAATTTTCATAATAATTGAGCACGTACTCTTTTATCCATTCCTAGTCGGTAACCTGAAAAGAAATGGGGAGAAGGAAAAGGCAAAACACTCATTGTGGTTGGTGGCGTTTGTTCTATTTTTATTACCTCCGTTAAAAATAGATGTAACATTACAAAAAAATCAGATGGAGAAATATTATCTGGTGCGGGAGCCTGATCAATTTTCAAACGCACTATTTCATTTAAAGCTTAGAATTAATGCGATCATCTTGTTCATAGAGTATGTTTCCCTGTAGCAACCGTTCAGGATGACAAATACTATTTAAATATTCGTGAGTAAAACTGAAGAAAAAGTACAATTAAGTCATCCAGTTATCTCATAACTGCAGAAATAAGCCTTCCGTTTTCATTACTTAAAAGGCGCTACTCGTATTTTGATGCCCCAACCCCCAATGATTCGGCGATAAGTTTAAGATTTAAAAAAAAAATTGGGTCTCTATATCTGCGGTGAGAAGAAAGCACAGATAGAGCATGTACAATTTCATGTTTAACAACGACCAAACAAGTTTTGTTTGTTTGTTTATAATTAAGCACAAAGCTACACAATGGGCTATCTGTGCTCTACCCACCATGGATATCGAAACCCGGTTTCTAACGTTGTAAGTCTGCAGACTGGGGGGCACGACCAAAGAAATATACATTGATTTGTTGCTTACTTAAAAATAATAATAACATAAAGCTCTATTATTAATTTTTACATTAAAACAAAGGCAAATAAAGTATTTACATTTATAAATAATTAGATAAATTTTCTAACTTTTGTGCGTGTACCTATACAGTCACAGTAAAGGAACCAAGTTTTCACATTACTAAGAAATTAAACTTGGATTTTACGGAAAACAATATTTTTACCGCTAGAGTACGGTGGGTGTAAAGGAAAGGATATATTTTTAATTAGAAGTAGTGTTGATTAGGATTGGATGGTTTAGACTTAATTGGGATTTGTTTACGTTTCTGTATCGACATGTAAGTGAAATTAATAGATTTTATGTATTCACTGATTCAAACTATTGACATATATGTTATTATTATTATTAATCGTGATGTCAGAAAAACAGGTAGGTTCAAGAAGTCTTGATACAAAATCATTGAAAACTAGCAGAGACCCCCAAAACATTTCCGGCCAAATTAGTATCTTTATCGTAGCAGTACTTCTTTAAATATAACATTTCTAGCACAATACAAACGAATTGTAATCGTAGACAACGAAATGTGTAAATACACTTGTATATATGCCGTACTTTATAAAA